TGTAATTAGGCCTTCACAGGAGTCTTTCTGTATAGGTGTTCATTTTACACTATTAATAGAAAACAAATATTTACAATTAACTTCAGTTAGTGGAAATGGAGGAGACTGAAATGAAAACATATGGTTAAAGAACTTTGCTTTGTCTTTCAAAATATTGTTTGGTGAATCATGGATGACTCTTCCTTTTATTATCCCCCCAATAGGAAATAGATAGAGTGGAAACCTGTCCAGTCCTCTCAACTGTGGTCTGTAGTAATCAGGGAAACATTTCCCCCCATATTCCATCCAGTTCACTTTATCTTTATAATATATTACACTTGATCTTCCTTGAATAAGTTCCTCCATTTCAATTTGTTATTCTGTGCTTCTACAGTTTTTATTCCTATCTATCTGTACTGTTTCTCTATTTCCTTTTTTAAAGATGAACTCTTTTGTCCTAAATTGTTTTTGTTTTAAAGATGAGTACAACTATCCAAAGGTGCAGAAATATGGGCAAATACTCTCCTTCTATACATATTTCACCAAACAATTTCATACATATCAAATAAAATATTATTCCAGATTTTTTTTTAAAGCACAATGTGTGCAGGATTCATTCATCGGCATCATCACAATCCATGTATCAATACAAAGGATGGTTTGCTCATTTGCGCACAGAAGCACAATCCACACTAGAAATAAGGAAAGGTGAATAAAATGGAGGTGTCACGCCCTGGCTCTGGGGACACTTGTATGTTGAGCCAGGGTGTGCATTTCATTTGTTTATCTAGTATGTGTATTTCTATGTTGGCCTGAGTGGCTCCCAATCAGAGGCAACGAGTGTCAGCTGTCATTGGTTGTCTCTGATTGGGAGCCATATTTAAACTGTCTGTTTCCCATTTGTGTTTGTGGGATCTTGTTTCAAGTCTGTTTATGTTAGACCGTGAACTGTCACGTATCGTTTGTTGTTTTTGATCGTGTCTCTAATTAAAGAGTATGTTTGCCTGCAACGCTGCGCCTTGGTCCTCATCTTTGGTAGACGATCGTGACAGAAGATCCCACCTCGACTGAATCAAGCAGCGTGACGAGGAGAGAGGATGGACTTGGGAGGAGATGAGTGCGAGTCTGGCAAGAGGGATGGAGGCCTTGGCCACGGGTAGGAGTGAAGCCCATAAATGTTTTAGTGGGGGGCTAACGCCGTGGACGACGGGGCAGCAGGAGGCCGCCAGGTTACGGGAGTCACTGGTCACCAGGGGGAAGGAGGATGTAGAGGCACGGCGAGAGGTACTGGCGTGTGTTGCCAGTCCGGTCCGGCCTGTTCCTGATCCCCACGTAGGGCCAGTGGTGTGTGTTCCCAGTACGGTCCGGCCTGTTCCTGCCACTCGCACCAAGTCAGTGGTGCGCTTCGTCAGCCCGGCACGGCCCGTTCCTGCTCCCCGCACCAAGTCAGTGGTGCGCTTCGTAAGCCCGGTCCGGCCCACTCCTGCTCCCCGCACCAAGTCAGTGGTGCGCGTCGTCAGCCCGGTCCGGCCCATTCCTGCTCCCCGCACCAAGTCAGTGGTGCGTTTCGTCAGCCCAGCTCGGCCCGTTCCTGCTCCCCGCACCAAGTCAGTGGTGCGCTTCGTCAGCCCGGCACGGCCCGTTCCTGCTCCCCGCACCAAGTCAGTGGTGCGCTTCGTCAGCCCGGTCCGGCCCGCTCCTGCTCCCCGCACCAAGTCAGTGGTGCGTTTCGTCAGCCCGGCGCGGCCCGCTCCTGCTCCCCACACCAAGCCAGTGGTGTGCGTCGTCAGTCCGGCACGGCCCGTGCCTGTTCCACCGGTGGCTGGTCCGGCACCGGTCAGATGCTTCACGCCGGAGCTAGAGCAATCCGCTCCACCAGTGTGCAGTCCAGCTCCGGCCAGCGGGGCCAGACCGGACCAGGGGTACTTTGGGGGGTTGGAGAGGGAGCGGGAGCGGGGATCAGGCCCGGAGCCGGATCCGCCGCCTAAGCGGAGTGCCCACCCGGTCCCTCCCCTGTGGTGTTTGGTGGGCGCGGTCGGAGTCCGCGCCTTTAGGGGGGGGGTACTGTCACGCCCTGGCTCTGGGGACACTTGTATGTTGAGCCAGGGTGTGCATTTCATTTGTTTATCTAGTATGTGTATTTCTATGTTGGCCTGAGTGGCTCCCAATCAGAGGCAACGAGTGTCAGCTGTCATTGGTTGTCTCTGATTGGGAGCCATATTTAAACTGTCTGTTTCCCATTTGTGTTTGTGGGATCTTGTTTCAAGTCTGTTTATGTTAGACCGTGAACTGTCACGTATCGTTTGTTGTTTTTGATCGTGTCTCTAATTAAAGAGTATGTTTGCCTGCAACGCTGCGCCTTGGTCCTCATCTTTGGTAGACGATCGTGACAGGAGGCCCACAACTGATATGAATGTACAGTACAGGCCTAAATCCACACCAAAGCAAAGCTCTATAATGGAAGGTCACAATGCTGGAGTTGATGAATTAATTGTAACCCCTAGTTACGTAGAAATAGCCCCAAATACATTCTCTGCAATATTGTTAAACAAAAATCATTACAATTAGACAGTCCCCATTGCCTAAATCTTTCCATATATTGTACATGGTCTGACACTGATGGGATGATTTAGAATTTCATGCAGTAGTATTTACTGATTGACGGAAACAGTGAACACAATTGCACACATTTCTCTTCTGATGAAAACAATGTGTTAATATTCTGTGAACAAAACACTTAACAGTGAATGTTGTATTCACTGATGACATTTGTATTTAATGTTTTGCAAAAGGTGGTTTAAGATATGCAAGTCAGGTACTAAGGCAGTATTTGAGCATTTGATCATTGCTGTTCTTCTATAGATAAGTTTCAACACATATCCCAACATTTCTTGTATGCGATTGAGAAAAATGTAATGAATGTTCATGAAATCACATTTATAGTTGTTGATGAACAGAGACAGAATTTGGTCTGCTTTTGGATTGATATAATCTGGGTCTATGAAACCGGCCCATAAATTAATCATAGTATCAACTAATCTTGTGGAAATGTTATAAAAATCTTGTATCGATCCATCCATCCCTATGAAAAAGCCCTGACTCTTGTATTTGCTACCCAGACAGACAGACAGACAGACAGACAGACAGACATGAGACACAAATGGTAGAGAGGTGCTCACGCCAGCACAGGGCGGATTTATTAGGAGCTGCAGGACACAGTGGGTTTGGCTTTAAATAGTGTACACTCAGCACTGTAATGTACAACAATAGCAGGAGGAGATCATCCCACTTTATTTTCCATCATCCTTTCACCTCCTTCTCCTCACTTCCCACCCTCCACCACTAGCCAAATACAGTGTGTGTGTGTGTGTGTGTAATAATAAAGATCATATTGAAGCGCTTATATTTGTCCTATTTCACATATATATTAATACGCATGTGTGAATTGGAAATTAGTTTTTTTTGCATATCCCAACTCCCCGAGACACCCTCCCCTGCCAGCGGCGTCCTTGGAGCAATTACGGTTAAGCGTCTTGCTCAAGGGAACAGACCGATTTTTTCACCTTGTCGGCTCGGGTACAAAAAAAGGCTAGCGACCTTTCGGTTACTGGCCCAACGCTCTAACCACTAGGCTAGCTGTCACCCCTGTGTGTGTGTGTGTGTGTGTCTGTGTGTGTGTGTGTGTGTGTGTGTGTGTGTCTGTGTGTGTGTGTGTGTGTCTGTGTGTGTGTGTGTGTCTGTGTGTGTGTGTGTGTGTGTGTCTGTGTGTGTGTGTGTCTGTTGTGTGTGTGTGTGTGTGTGTGTCTGTGTGTGTGTGTGTGTCTGTGTGTGTGTGTGTGTGTCTGTGTGTGTGTGTGTCTGTGTGTGTGTGTGTGTGTGTGTGTGTGTGTCTGTGTGTGTGCATCATAAAGAAACAGATCATGAGACTAAATAACTTGCAAAACATTTGTGTGCGCGTCGTCTGGGAGAACAGGCGAACAAGGAGGCACTTCTGATTCTTAATTTGTGAAATTATTTAGGAATAATGTGTTAGGACACTTGTTTACTGTAATTAATTATTTATTGTTCCGTAAAATTAACATATATCAAATTCTAAAACCAAAGCTGTTCTTCCCTTTTGTTTGGGCATGTTGGAAGGATTCCCTTAGTGTGGTCCCTTCACCAAGAACACTACCAGAGCCAACGCATCTCAATAGTTTAACATGGCGTCCTCTCTTTGTCTCATTTCCTTCATCTGAACTGGACTGGTTAAAGCTAATTCCCTGTAGGCATAAGCCATATTTCTGCCAGGAATCCTAAAATCAGTGCAGATGAAGGAAAGGAGATGAGGAGAGAAACGCCCCCATTGAGACGATTGAGATACACCCATGGTCATGATGGCAACACAAACATAAAACAGCACCAGCTCATTGGATATGACAAAGGTTACATCACAGTAATATTCCTTTAATGTCA